AGGGGAGAGGGAGGGGAAACAGGAGGACAAAGGAGGGGGGAACAACTAAGCTGTAGTGCCTTTTCACTGTGCAATACTTTTTGTTAATAACCAAATGTAAAGTTCTATCTTATCTTATCTTCTTAAATGTACGAGCCCACATACTTACATCAGTGAGCATGCTCTGACTGAGCACGGGGCAGAGAACATGAAAACAGCTTGATGGAAATCACTGGGAATCGTTTATTTGATGGAAAAGTTTCTGATTAGCTTATTAAAATGTGACACGATTTGCTGTTAAAACAGAACAGAACTGGTTCAGGAGCAGCTGTGCCTCAGAAGGTCATCCACTAATCACTGGTTCAACCCCTCGCTCCTCTAGATACTGAACTCAAAAGGCCTGTGTGGACGTACTTGCCCAGCCTGTCCGGCTTGATGAGGATATTGAAGTAGGTCTTCTTCAGCTGCTCTGAGAACATGGTGAAGACGCTCGGCTCGGTGCTGAAGTCTGACAGCTGATCCACGATCAGGTGCAGCAGCAGCTGGAAGGAAAACAAAGCAGCTGAAATGATGTTTAACACTCCGACTCGCAGATATCAAACCAACTTCATTATTGTGTGCTTTCATCTTTAACTAACAGATACCCTCACAGTCAAGCAGCATCGAACTACTCTCAGCAAAATTCAAACCTTCACAACAAAAAAGCTGATGAGACCTGCATAGAGCACTCACCCATGTGTTTTGTAGAGACTTTTATCTTTTGGAGATTATTTTTTTCTCTGTGTTATTGTAGGTCTCTATACTACAATATAGAACGTGTTGAGGCGACTGTTGTTGTGATTAGGCGCTGTATAAATAAAATTGAATTGAATTATCAGAGAGACCGGCACTCACAGTTCCTGAAGTTTGTGAGAATTCAGTGACACGAAGACGGTGGGATTTTATTTTATGGGGCAACCCTTCAGTAGTTTATCACATGTGACTGGTGATGATTGAAGTTTAAGTTAATTTAGAAAAAGCTTTAGTATAAATAAAGGTGAGCAGGTACTATATAAGTACCTACTCATCTGCAGGACACTTCCTGCAATCTTTGGTTTTCAGAATAAAGAAGTTAAAAGCAGAGACGGAGACTGTCAGAGCTGCAAGTGCTGACTCTGCAGGTTCATGCAGAGCAGGAATAACCTTCATACCATAATGTGTGTGTCTGAGTGTCTGTGTGTGTCCTCACAGGCAGTTTGTGGTTGAAGCCTTTCAGCCGGATCATCAGTCCGTGCTCTCCGGCCACCAGTTTGTACTCCAGCTGAGCCACGTCGGCCTCGTAGGCCGGCTCTGCCAGGTTATGAGCCAGGATGTTCACGAAGAGGTCGAAGAGAACCAGGCTGAGGAGGAGGAGAAGAGAGAGAGAGATGCCTTCATTATCATGATCATCATCGTGATCATCTCAGAGTGTGAATGAACTGCTAGATCTGAATTCTTTACGTGTCCGTTTGAACCACGTCAGACCGAGCGCAGCTCTCACTCTGAGCATTGATCGCCACGCTCTGCTCACCTCTCTGTTCATAACTCAGTGACTGCATCGACAGATTTAGAGACTTTAGTGAGGCTCAGCCCACTCTCCATCTGTGCCGCTCAAATTTAACAAATGCTGAATATGTAGCACACAAAGCTATGTTTGTGTCAGTCACTGTTTCCAGGTAACACTGTGCTGCACTGCAGGTGGATCTAATATGTTCAGGTGTGCCGGTGGCTCTTACTTCTCTGGGCTCTTCTGGATCATCGGGGAGATCAGGTGGAAGCGAATGTAGGCTGAAATAAAAACACATCAGTGATTATTTATCCAAACAGATTCTGATACAGCTGACTGTTTCCAGCTGTTATTGTCTTGCTGATTCGTGTTTTGTGTAACTGTAGGTATAAATACAGTTTTTAATTGAGCTGACATCACACTGCATCACTCTTATTTGGATAAAGTGTAATGACATCAAGTGTCCACAAGACACTGCTGTTCCACCTGCTTCCGATCAGGCATGTCCTGATAAAATTGAGCTTTAATGCCTGAGCAGTTTTCAGGTGGATAGTTTAAACTGGTCTGTCTGATTAAACCAGTATAGATCTTATTTATGGTTTAAACTTGGACTGAAACACTGACTGAAAGTTTTTACTCTGCAGGTCGTCATCTTTGTGCTCAGTGCCTGAAGATGCTGCAGACTCAGCAGAGGTCAGACTAGCACATTAACTCCTCTAACTCTGCCGCACTCGCTCACTGTCAGACACAGACTGTAAATAAAGCTGGAAGCATTTCCTTAAACCCTTTCTAATGTCCAGGAGGGGGCGACTCCTGTGGTTGTAAAAAGAAGTCTGTCTGGACAGAAGTCTATAAGGAAGTGACCCTCCTGCTCAGCTGCCTCTGAGTTCAGGAAAGTCTGTCCTGATAAGTTTCTGGTGTTAGGTCTAAATCACTAAAACACAAACTTCATTTTGGTCCCGTTAGAGTCGCAAAAGACCAGGCAACAGGAGAGGATTCAGGGCGGGGCTAAACCGTGATGGCTTTTTTGTCTTACATGAAGGTAAACGTGAGATTATTTGGTTCTGAATTGTTGGTTGGTCCAAACTTTGGTTTCCCTTTTCTGGTTCAGCTCCATCAGCAGACCTGGCCGGCCCAGCTCACCTTTGGGGATCTTGAACTTGTTGTCCTTCTTGTACCACAGACAGCCGCGCTCGCTGTTCACAATCCTCACAGGATACTCTGTGTCCGGACAGTCAGACGTTTTCAAGGTGAAATCCGTTGCTGCAGAAGCGACAAAAAACCCAGAAGATTGAGTTTATTGGTTGTCAGTAATGATGCTGTGATGACTGAAACACTGAAACGTACTGATGTACAGCTTTACGCTGTGATGTTACAGGATGTAGAAATTGGGTTTTTTTTTGTTATTTAAATTCTTAAATCCTGACTGATTTCAGATCTAAACTTCTCCGAAGGCTGGAAACTTGTTCCCGGCTTTGCTGTAGGAGTCTAAGATGCACATCTGAACTTTTCAGCCTTCAGCTGATCCTAAATCAGCTTGATGTGGACTCAGCCTGAGCTGCTATTCATCATCTGAAGCTGCCAAATGCGTTTACACTGACCGATGAATTTGTTCTCAGCAGGCAGGTGGAGTTCAGGGTTGAGTTCGAAGTCTCCAGCCCAGCGCTCAGCCCACTCCTCTGGGATATCTGACGAGACAAAACAAACACACCCACATTTAGCGACAAACAGGAAGCAGTCACAGGGTCAGACTGTCACCGCTGAGGACCCCCTGAAACTTTAAACTCTGCGCTAACTTCACACCACTTAATTCTGATTGGCTTGTCCGGTCACTTCCTGTTTCCTGTGAAGACTTTGCAGTAATGGCGATGATGAAGACATTTGTGAACAAAGAAGCAGGTTTAACGGCAGATTTCTTCAATCATCTTTATTATGATGAAGAAACAGGAGTGCTGCAGTTTGCATGTTCCTCCTCTCACAGCCCAAACACAAGCATGTTTGGTTCACAGCCGAATCAGCTGTACATGAAAACATAAACAGCTGATTTGCATTTAGTCTAAATTACACTGGATCTGGCTTTTTTAAAATTTTGAGCTATCAGGCTGCTGTACGTTTATTATTACGTTATTTATTATTTTAAATTTGAGACATTTACACAAACAGGTAGGACTCAAAGTCGCCTTCACAGCTTTACTCTGTTTCAAAGCAGACATTTACTCCATAAATGATTTAAAATCGCACGTATCAGTAATGTCGACACAACAAATTTTGCAGCTTCATGCACACAAACGTTTGTTGTTATTTTGTTCAACTGTTTGCTGAAAAACTAAACTAAACAGTCGTTTTACCTCAGACCTCCACGTTCTCGAAGGTGAAGTTTGATGTTACTATAGTAGCGTATAAAAATGGTCTGTGTGAGTTAAGTGATGAAAATAATAAGCGCTTCATGCCCTCCCAACACGACGACCTCCCCCTGCCTCAGGGTTAGGGTTAGCTTTTAGCTACGCGCTCCTTGGTGCAGACTAACAGAGCAACTGTGCTGTGGTTAAAGCGTCGTACCCTCCACGCTGTAGCAGGTACCGAACCATTTCTCTTTGAGGTGGCAGCAGCCTTCGTTTTCCGGCGACAGCAGCAGCAGATTCGCTCTGTCGGGTTTCAGCAGGGACAGAGCGGCGTTGATCACCTGACAACACAAACAGTTCACTGAGAGCGTAAACTCTACACAGGACAGATTACTGCACTGATTCTGGATCAAGATCCGGATCACGGTGATGCTCACCTGGGGGTCGTACTCGAACATGAGCTGGTCTCCGGTCAGGAAGTCCTGTTTGGGAAACAGCTGCATGTTCTCGCAGATGTTCTCCACAAACTCGATGGGATCCGTCTGCCGAACACAATTGGAAGTGAGCGTTTCACAGAGAAAGACAGTAAAGAGTGAAGCTCATCATGAGGAGTTACACAACGCTTGGCTCTATCGTTTCTGTCCTACTCTGTCTCTGCTGTCCCTGACGAAGCGCCTTCTCCTCCTCTGAGTGTCTACCTTCAGCCTCTGCTCTCCTCCCTGAGCTCACATCACTTCAGCCTGACTGTGTGTCTGTGGTGCAATACCTCTACCTGTTCCTGGTAGTGGAACTCGTTGGCTTCGATCTTCTGAATTTCCTCATAGATCCTGAAAAATAAAGAAAGCAGAAACAGAGGATTTCTTTGTCATTCAGACAAAGAAAAAGAAATAAAAGCAGATAAAATAAAATGATCTCAGAGCTCGGTGACTTCGTCCCAGATTAATGCTTAAAAAGATTTTTTTCCTGGACGTCATTTTTCACAAAGTTTAATGACATCATAGCTTCCTCGACAAGTGTCTGGCTCCTCCCACCAGAAGTGCCATGTCCCCTCATCACATAACATCTGACTTCAGTGTGTGATAAGAACTCTGCCCTTCACTGAAGTTCTGTTTAAGCATCTTTTACAGAAGAAAATTAACAATAAATCGATCCAATTACGGTGCTTTTCATTACAGATGGGATTTTCTGATTGGATGTGGTACTGCAGACTGTGTGTCTGTTAGTGTTAGTTTATCTAATGAGTTTTAGTTTGATTAAAGCCGTTCCACAGTTTTATTCTCAGACTTCAAAATAATCCTTCCTTATGTTAAACTGGGTCTAGCCCTGCGGTTCATCCTGTCTGAAAAGTGATGCTTTAGCTCCTCCCACTCCAATACAACTTTCTTCTGATTGGACAGCTTCTGAAAGCCTGCAGAGGGGCTGGAGCTTGTTAGCACAACCCACTCATCTGGCCAGTGTGAAAGTTCTAAAAATCAAACTGAACCTGAACCTCCTCAGATCCATCTGAACACGCCAGAGTCTGAACCTGCAGCAGAAACTGTAGATCTTCTCTCATTTCTGAGCGTGCCGTGTCTGAAAGAAATCTGTGACACGGTGATGTCAGTTCACCGAGGTAACGAGCAATCTGAGCTGCTGGCTCACAGAGACTACTACACATACACTGACCTCGTTATTACTACGGTTTAATATGAACATCCAGCACTGCAACAGCAGATACAAAGGAGCAAAACATGTATGATGCCTGTATGGTGTATCGGAATGTGAGCATGTGCAGCTGAGTCTCTAAACTCTAAATAGACAACTTAGGTTAAGTGATGTGTAGAAGAAAGATCCTGTCCAGTGTGGGTGTGGTTTTCAGTGAGAGGATGCCTCTTCCTCACTAAATGCTGTAGCAACACGCCGCACGAGGACGAGGGAACAGTAAGTTCAAACTATCAGACGCTCATGGATCATTGCATGGATCATCTCAGCATGCTGCTCACAATGATACAGAAACTTACATAGAGATAAAAGAGAAACGACACAAACATGTTTGTAGATTTAAAGATGAGTGACGGTGGACGCTGAGTGGATGGTGTGCGGTGGCGTGATCATACATAAATACAATGTCAGCAACAACACACCTGATTTTCAACAGAAGAATGGTGTAATGGAGACATCTGCTGAGCTCTCACTTTTCAACCAAACGTGACAGATTTTAGCTTCTACGTCTGAGCCAATCAGATGTCAATTAGAGCTCTAATCAACAGGAAGCTGCTCAGAGGGAAAACAGGAAGTCACAGCTGGAATTGGGCTAAATTCACACCTTTGGAACAGCTTGCAAAGATGACTTATAGTCTTTCAACAACAACATAAATCCTAAATAGAATTGTTTTTAAATGATGATGACCAGATTTGACCTAGAAAGCATTGTCTATGGACGTCTGCAGCTGAGATGGGAATTAGGTTTTTAAGCCTGACCTCTGCTGGGGGCCCAGAGTCTGCAGCATCTTCAGATACTGGAACACAAAGTGGACGACCTGCAGAGAGAACAGCAGCATGGTGAGGCCCCAAACCTAAGCTTTTACATCAGCAAACACATTTTTGTGTGTGTGTGAGCATGTACTCATATCTTTGTGGCAACCAAAAATTTGAAGTTTGAAGGCATTTTTGAGACTCAAAATGTGGTTTTAGTGTCAGGGTTACAGTTAGGTTATGGTTGTGGTTACGGTAAGGAGCTAGGGAAAGCAAGATATGTCTGTGTTTATAAGTGTGTGTGTGTGTGTGTGTGTGTGTGTGTGTGTGTGTGTGTGGCAGAGATGTCTGTGGGTGCTGGGCTGTTTTAAATAGTGAGACCGGCCTTTGACAGAACACCATCCTACTCCCATCTCTCCATCTCCATTACTCTCACTGAACTGTCACTACGCACAGACACCAAAGTTCACACAGGTACACACACATCACACACAACACAACACACACACACACACACACACACACACACACACACAACATCAGCAGCACACACACACACACAAACACACACATACAGTTGGGGGTTTTCAATATCTTGCTTTTCACC